GAGAGCGCCTGAGTGGCGCTGCTGGGAGCTGAGCAGTGGGCAAGTGTCAGAGAGGTTCTGGAGGAGAAACGAAAAAGGAATGAGAAACTGGGCAGGAAAACTACTAGAAACAAAGCTTCGGGAAAGTAGATGATTTCCCTTTTTTTTAAAAAAAAAAAAACCACAACAAAACAGCGTTGTTAAAAAAAACATAACTGAAAAGGTATTGACTGCTCAGCGAACACCGATTCGCTCCAAAATAACCTAACGGTGTCCCACATTTCAAATGCAGAAACTCAGCTAAAGTATCTGCATGTTGTTGTATGGTTACCTTGCACATGGCAAAAAAATAGATGTTACTCAGTAGATGATTAGAATCAGGGTGAGCACAATACATGACTGGGCAAGCAACAAAAAGACACCCAGAGCTGAAAAGCAAGGGAGGTGATTAATGGATTATAAAGATTTTAGCCGGAAAAGAGAGAGGAAGATCAACTATAAGCACGGAATTCTGGCACACCTGTTGAGGTTCCTGATATCCTCAGAGAAGTGTACGTGGCTGCATATATAAAAGCTGTTCCAGTAATGAGAATGGGACAAAATACATGCCTTTTTTTTTTTTTTTGGAGATTTTTAACACAATAGGATGAGAAAGTATTTGGACTTGGGTTGCCAGAGGTTTCTTGAGTGAGAAACATGGGTAAGCTCCAGTAGACTGGGGCCATCGTGCCGCTGGGGGCAACAACGGACACAACAGCTTGGAAGCGCGGGGTTGGACAGAGCATTCTCCAGCTGACATTCACTGCTCTTGCTCCATAAGCCTCACAGCCAGCGCTTGAAGGCTCCGTAATGGCGTGTGGCCTCCTGTTCTGCAGGACTGCTCAGGGTCATGGGACCACTGCTCACTTAGGAAAAGCCGCATTTGTAAGCATGAAGCAATCTCCAAAATCACCACGTAAGCAGAATGTATATTAATACAAGATGTGTATGACACCAGTACTCACTCTCTCACTTCCTTTCTGGTTTAGAAACGAGCTCAATATAGCCTGTAAGGATTCTACAGATCACACATGGAGGCTAATTATGCTTGCACTGAGACCTCAATCTCGAAGCACAACACTGTGTCCAGTGACTCGAGAGAAATCACCGTTGCAAAACTTGGCCTGAAAGCAGAATGTTCAGAAGTGCAGTCAGAGGGGCAGAAAACTTAAGCTTCTCGGAAACTGTGGTGTAATCCTGAGGTTACATTTTCCATACTATCCTCATAATAAAGGCTCTACCGCTAGTGGAGTCCTGTAATATGAAAACAAACCCATCAGATTACATGTTCAGAATCTCCCGGCAATTTTAACACCGAACGTGCTATGCCTGTTGATAACCTGCTTTGGAAGAACAGCATCTAACAGGAGTTCTTGCTTCTTCAAGAGATTAACTCGCCCCAAGGCTAGAGCTGCGGCACTGGGCTTCTCCACACAGGAGCTGTTGCCAGTCGAATGCAGTAACACTCTCAGCTATGTCCTTAAGGAATCATTTACAAACCCACTATTTGCGGTTCA